ACCTGGAAATAATTTCTACATCGCAAAGGAAAAGGGCACATATAAAGCAAAAAAAATGTACATGCAAAAAATACATCGAATTTCTTCACATATATTGCATGACAATGTAAACTAAGCAATAACTGATAATTTCAATCTGAAACAATTTTGTACAGAATTCTTCGCAGTGTGTGAGTTGTTGAAAGACTGGGTGATGTTAATAATGTGCTGAGATTGAGAGGTACAAATGGTGGATAATAGGAACAACATGTAAGCGACATTCCAACAGAATAAAACTATTCCGTTAGGCTAAAATACAATTTCCGCAGGGACATACATGACATGCCAGGGATTCCCAACCAGGAACATACTTTCCACTCGTTTATAATTAGACTCTGCAGAATGAAAGTTCATTGGAAAGGTTTTTTTAGCTTTTAGTCCAAAACACGTTTCTAAAAGTTGAGGCAAGTCTGAAGCCAGTGGGTCAGTTACCCGGCTGCCATGTGATGTGTGCAAGATCAAAATCTAAAGAACTTAAAGCTACACTCCGAGATGTTTTGATAAACAAATAAGTTGACGTTTTTAAATCTGAATCTTGACAGAAGTTTGAGAATCTTGTACAACATTCTGAATGTTTCATAGGCTTTCTGAACCTGAGTCTCTAATGACCAACCTGTTCTGTGAATGTCATTTCCCAACTGACAAAAACTACATACAGTTCAGTCGGTCTATTTGTCTTTAGTCTACACCGAAAGGTTTGCTACAAAAGCGCATGTTGGGTTGTAAACTGTGGCTGGTAAAGTCGTTGCAGCACAGATGTATGTGAAGGTACAGCAGGTTGCCGCCGATGTGTCGTTTTTCATCTTCATAATTTCCCAGGATCCCCCGCAGCTGCTACAGTTGTTCCGAGCAGCTGTTTTGTTGACGACTGTGGGCCACTAAATCATCCAACATATGCATGAGCGAATGGTTTAAAAAAACTGTCCAACTTTTCAGATGTTCTATCAAGAATAGTCATTTTGTCTTGCCTAACTAGTTTTTTTTTTAATTTTTCTGGAGATGTATTGGCAGAAGAAGTTTCAGCTTTGACCTAAGCCACCTAACCCTTACCATTAGCCGTACAGGTTACTAGTATTTACTGCTAAACTCCGTATAACTAAGTACTTTAGACATAAATTAAGCTACAGTACATTTTACAGGTATACACGTATTTTTTTGTTTATTTTCCTTTATTTACTTGTTATCCATTAAAGAGGTTCTGAGTTGTACAGCCCCTTTACAGAGACTGTTGAATCAACCACCAAAATCGTTGACTCGGCTGCTTTGATCATCCTGTATTATACAAACCCATTTCAAATTATATTTTTAACATCACAAAGAAACGAGAAGAAGCCGAACCTCTGTATTAGAGTAGTTTTAGAGCTGTTTGCACTACAAACATGTATATTACCCATTTCATATGTTCACCTGTACTTAGCCCGATAGGGCATGAATGTACAATAAAGGTTATAATACGCAGTAATACGCACTCGCAAGTCTAAAACAGAAGTATGTTAAAGAGATGAAGGACAAGTTTGTTCCCGATAGGGTAAGGTACCTCCCCCTCCCCTGTACCCCTATCGCCTCATCTTTGTTTAGACAAGGGCACAGGGATTAGACCTGTTGGACTGTTTCATTTCAAACCTGAGCTTGACAGGGTAAATAACGGTGTGGGTGATGGCGTGACGTGTCGGGCTGTACCTTCTCCGCCTTCTCCTGCAACTCGAGCTAACCTCGATAAGGACATCACCTGAACGGCCTCTCACCTGCCGTGTTACTACTTCTTCTGACCTACTTACGACTAATAAGAAAATATCCGTGTAAATCTTACTACAAAGGATGAAAGTGTGAATTATTTGGTACGACTTTCAACGATCCTAATGTTAACATCCTCACGTTAAGTCGGTTTATTTCAGCATCCTTTCCCGAGGTTTCCCTTTTCGACCTCATGCTTTACATTTTCGTTGGCCCAAGAAGTCTGGATTGCAGGCTTCGTCAACTTCGCACAATGGCTAAGATAATTCTGGATGTATAAATCACTCAGATTTGTTAAACTAGCGTCGAAAGAAGCATGTCGTTTTAACTTGATACCGTGTGTAAACGTGTCTGTCTGGAAACGTGGTTACGTAACTTTCTGCACCCTAAATAGGGCAAATCTATTTTACAATTGCTCTCTATCCTTCCGTGTATTTCTTCCTTAGTTTCCTTGTTGTTGGACAGACAGCTTCCCAGACTTCTTAACTCAGAGGTGTCATGGCTTGAAACAGCTCTAAACCGTGTAACGGGATAGCCTGTGGACGGGGCAACTCACCTGCCCCGAGCCGCTATAGGTTCGCAGTGGCCCGGAGACGTCAGGCAAACACGCGCCTGTATCGGCGTGTGTCTCAGTCTACTGACACTGTAAAGCCACCTGGCTATTTACCCGGCTACCGGGCTTGCCGACCCGTCCCTACTGTTTGTGTTCTATTCAGCGGTCGAGTGGGAAAGTTGGAAGGGCCATAAAGGTCTTTGCCATAAAGGGGCCCTTAGTGAAAGGTCCAGGCACTGAGATAACACACAAACCTCCTTAAAAAAACTGGAGAAAGTTTGGATGTATAAAAGACCACCTGGGCTACCATGGCCACACCTGTAGAAAGGTGTGTTGCTAGAAACACACCCACGTACGTGTTAAAAGGAAAAGTACAGGTAAAAGGTGTGCTAAGGTAAACCAAAGACACGACTAAATTTAATGGGACCTTTGCCTCGGCAAAACCACAAATATGTCCAAAGTCACTCCGGTGTATTCAGGGTCACAGAAGCATTTCTTTCACACCCAATCAACGCGTGAATGGAGGCTGTCCACCGTGAACCAGGTAGTTTACCTGGCCTTTGTTCCAGGTGTTTTCCTTTGGTGTTCTCTTACCTGTTCCGTGACAGACAGAGAGCCCGACACCTGCGGGTCAGGTACAAGCTCATTGTGCGCGCTTAAACAGGTGGGTTAGGGGGAAGAGGGAGACTTTGTCAAGGTCAATCGGCAAGGTCAAGACAGAGTGTGCACGGGAAATAGACAACGTTCAATAACAGTTTGCATTCCTTCTCTACAGTTCAGTTGGGAAATGCTACAATCATTGATTCAACTGGAACATGTACACACCTACATCAGCAACGGACTAACAAATAAACAAACAAAACGGCGAGTCCCTGTTTCTCACTCAACACCATCAATATTCCCGATACTGGCCACATTCCCCCTTAACTTGCACCCTTAACTTGTCAGACAGGTGATGCATTCATGACTACAGACTAGCTCTGAAAATATCCAGACCAATACTGGCAATGTGTATGCAAGTTATCAGCAATGTCCTAAAAATCATATGTCACTTAAAATGATATCACAGACACGTCGACAAGTGTTCACCATAACATCGTTTTATACCACACGTCTATGTTCTAGAGAGAAGAATTGTTAATTTTTTTATTACACGCACCACAAGATGTAAATTAACAAAATTTAAGATATATATGATATATGTAACAAACGAGTATTTTTTCACAACTGAAATAGAAGAAACTTCGTATTTCAAACAGCGCAAATCCCGTCCCATCCCCGGCATTGTTAATGTAAGTATGAAGTAATCCGCCATAGGGAAGAGATTTGTGATCTCGCCCCACCACACCCATCCGCACACAGAGCGTGTTCATTGTTTCATCGGACCGTCCCCTGTTGTAACCAGACATTAAACCGCCCATAAAAGGACCCCATATCACAGTCAACCCGGCGAAATCACCCCATCTTTCACAGCAGCGCACTTATCAGCATAACATCCCGCCATATCAGTAATATAGTTCGCCATGACAGAATGATATGCACAGCCGTGTCATTGTCATATCTCATGTTCATAACATTACCTTTGCTTTTCTAGCCACAGCGTCTTCAGGGTCCGCCGGCCGGCCGCGGAAACTGGCCTCTTCTTTGGTAGGAGGCGGAATTTTACTTTCTTCCCGCGGAATTGTCAGAAAAAACAGCCCAAATGTGTCTCCGTCAATGTGAGATAGCGGAGAGCGACAGTCGCGGAACGACCATACGCAAATGACATGAGAACGACAATGACAAGGAATTCAATTCTCTTAAATGCTTTCCCCGCCCAGGAAGAAGCACATTTTACTACAGTGTTTTCCCTCTTTAATTCGGAGAAGGTAGGAGAGAAAATAGTCCCCGCTTGGGGAAGGTGTGGAAGGCTGTGTGGATGTCGACCCTGACTGCATGCGCCACAGACACGGTGACATAGCTGCCCTTGTCAGGGCGTGGCACAGACTGGGGACGGTTCTGTGAAATGGCAGACTGCAGAGGGACCTATTATCATAATAACCCTCTGGTCCGGCCAAGGGAGTCCAAATCGCGTATCAATGACGCCCTCTAGCGATTGAACGTAGAAGTGACAAACGTCACCTCTGCTGCTGATTAGGCAGGGGATACAAATGTTAAAAACTGTTAATAAAGCAAGCTGTAAAGCTATGTGAATAGTTCTCACCATTCATTACAAGCACGGTCTGACAATGAGTACTTATATTGTTATAACTACTGTGATTGATTTTTTTTAAATGACACATTTCCTCCTGAACACAGGTCCCCTTAACGAATATACACATTGCCTTTCCAATCATTAACTGAAATGGATTCAAAACAGAGAGGATGACCCATGTGAAGGCTCACGTGTCAAAAGTGTCATCTAGCCACCTGCATTTGAACACGACACACTCATGACACCATCAGTACTGTGCCTGGAGGGTACAGTGTGGGGAAGGCCCTTCAGCACTAAGGAGAGGGATGGTACTGGATACTACAAGGTGGGGGAAGGTCACTCAAAAGTAATGCTGGGGAGATTTTTTTAGTCATCCTGGCAATGAGTTCAGATAATACTGTGATAATAATGGCTACAACATGTCCACAGAAATGACAAGTGAAGTGAACATTTTCTTTTATTTCATACTACATAACAGCTAACGACCAATACCAGTTCTGCTGGTTTCCATTGCATGTTTTGATTCCTGAGGTGCCATGTGATGTTGAGAGGAAAAAAGGTACAGTTGTAGTGCTTGCTTAGGTTGGTCAAACAAACTCTTTGAACCAGCATAGGGAAGAATATTGCCATTTATTCAACTACAAGGACATCGAAGAAAAGTATTACTATACAACCTTACATTTTGACACCAACAAATGACATCCATGTCCGTCTTGAAATGGCTCATAGGCCACAGCAAGTTAATCCTATGGATGATACCCACACATTGGTTTGTGCCTGATTAAAAAAAAAAGAAAGAACTTTCATTCCACTCTGGCAATGCCTTGAGTGCACTTGTGTGTAGAAGTGTCCCTAGTGAGGTAGTTGAAGTGACATTAGGCTATAGCTACCACACTAAGAAGAATATTTAGGTATCTTTTTTTGCACTCTTGCATTAGATTTGGTTTCTGTGCTTCAGAGGATGTCATCCATAAAATTCACAAGCTGTGGTCTACGTACTTGAGCATATTAGCAGTACTATCTGTAAGACCTTACATCATTTACATGAAAGAAAAACAGGTAGGTCAGGTAACGTGTAGAAGTTTTACTACAATTTCAATACAAACTAGATATTATTATCCAATATATAGTACAATGTAGTTGGATATATGTTGATATCATGGCACATGTTAAAAGTGACAAAGATGTTCTGTCACTCAGTGTAACAGCTATCTGAGCAGGTATAAGAACTATTTGACACCGGTCTGACTCCTTCAGTCCAGTTTTTCTTGGAGAAATGTTGGGCTAAAAGTCCTTGTCATGGAAGGAGGACGTCTTCTCTCCTGAGACCCTAGCCGCCCCCGGGGGTCCTGTGTGTAGTACCTTTTCTCAATGACTTTGTCAAAGAACCTGCTGAGTTTGACGGCGTTGGTGGTTCCTGCCGCCAGGTGTTTGTTCTGCATACAGTCCAGGTTGATGAAGTCTGCGCGACACTGTCCCGCCACGGACGAGCTGCGAGACAACACTTCCTCCAGGTTGTTGTCGGGAATGCGGTCCATCTTGGTCCCGATCACCAGCACAGGGAGCTGGTTCTCCGAGAACACCTCCTCGTCGTAATCAAACTCCCCGTTGTTCTTCTTCCCCGCGTCCTTGTTGAGGACTTCCCCGAGCCAGCGGCGCAGGTTTCCCTGGGACTTCCGATTGGTCAGGTCGTGCACCAGAATGAGGCCGTGGGCGGAGTTGAAGAACACACTGTGACTCAGACTGGAAGGAGAGCAACGGAGAAGGAACCAAAGGTTTGTTTGTCATACAGCAAAGACACAACAGGTCTTTGTATGGTTACTCTTTTATTGTTTGAGAAGGTTACTCTACATGAGAAGGTTATTCTACAGGAGGTTTTATAGATGACCTCCCCTGCAGAGTCCAGATCTAATGCGAGAACACAACAAAAGCAAGAAGAGCAAAAAGAGCAAAACAAAAAACACAACATGCCTAAATTCAAAAAAAATAGAAACCACAAACGTTGGAACAAGAATGGAAGAATGGAAGCAACAAAACATGGTATCACAGCTTACAGATATTTATTCCGGTATTCAAGAAGTACAGAAAGTGACAAAAGAAAAGAAACCTGCAGTGGGTGTTGCTGGAAGACAGATGAAAATTTCCAGACTATGGATGATGTACAAAATAAATGACTAATAAACTGGAAGATGTACCAACCACCAAGTATCTAATACCAGTCCAGAAAAGAACAAGAAACAGTCATGCCTTTAAATATCAGAATTATCTTGACCAAGAATTGAAGTTTTCAAAAGCTAATATTTTCCAAGAGACTATCATAGAGTGGAATTAGTTGCCACCAAGTTAGTACAGTTGGGGCATCATCAGTCATCACTAGATAGCTTCAAACAACTCCTGCAGTTAGATGACCAAAGATTGGGTGTAACAGGTCATTGGGTGTAATAAGTTAGCTGCTGCCGCGCCGCGTGCCTGTGAAGCTGGTGAGCTATGCTGAAAGGTGGTTATACCAGCTATACTAAATACAGATACAGACCAAAGATGGCACATCTTGAGTCATCACAAGAAAGTTGTGAGCCGTTACCTGTGGTTGATGGAGCCTCCCACGTCCCACAGCTCCACACAGAACGTCTTCTCGTGGGGCGTCCCTTCTCAAGTAGACATGTGGGAGAGATAAGACGTTAGATGTCTCACCAAGACTCCTCCATGACTCGCCAATGACTCACACAGTCAAGCTTAAAGTTAAAGCTTTTAGCTTTCTTTACTAACGTTAGTAACTTTCTGGTAGCTTTCTCTAGCTCAACTTTGACCAGGTTTATATAATACTGCCAATAGGCAAACGTCGTTGTATTTTGTTTAGCTACGTGCACAAGAAAGATTATGTTGCACAGCCTACCAATACTTGATACTTGCATGAGCATACATTTGATCACAGGCCACTGACAAAATTTTGTCAGAGTAGGTGGGGGGGGGGGGATACAGAGCATCTGACATGAAAAATCCTTACCTTCACGATAATCGTGCAGTTTGACGTCTACATTGCACCCTATCGTCCAAGCAGAATTGCCCATGGCTTCTCCCTGACTTATTAGATGTACAAGAGACGATTTTCCCACCCCAGAATCGCCAAGAACAAGAACTTTGACTTTTTCTACGGGCACCGCCATCTTGAACGAAAAAGGGTAAATAAGAGAAAAACTGAACACCGGTTATCATGCTTTTCTTTGTGCATTACAGGAAAAGTAAAATGTGTTATGTTTTTATTCAACTTTTCCGTATGTACAAAAGTAGCGCAGCTATGTATGTGAAAATTATGTGTTTATTTCGTACAGTAATTTAGCATTTCAATATACTCAAACACTACGACATATCCTCGGCCACATTGACAACAGTAACTTGTATGAACGCCGCCTATTGGAAATACTACAAAGTACAGCCGATTCCTTCTTATCTCTGGCAAGTACTAAGTAGTTTTTCGCCATCTGCCTTGCATATAACATTAAATCGAATACAAACGTAAATAAAAAAAATAAGCTAACCTGGGACTTTTGACCTAACTTTCTGTCAGCTGTGCAGTATCGCCGACGTGTCTGGCATATGGAAATGAACAACAGTTTGAGCAAGAATGTTCAGCACATCAGGTACAAGTTACACAAATCTACTCATATCATTGTATATGCAGGATCGTCATCACATCATATTTTAATAGATTGAAGTGTATCTTGATGTTTAATTTGAGCAGATCTAGAAAGATATGAAAGTTTCTGCGTCCGTTCCGAAAGTTCGACACTTTTATATACTTCCCGAACATGGGTTGACATTAGGCATATAACGTTAGATATGAGAAAAGAATGGAGTGTTATGGTGTCTTGGCTTTCATACTTAAATCTAGATCTACTCCGATTAAAGTGGATCCATTTACCAGAAAACATGCCGAGGAACAATAGATCTATAGTGGATAAGTGTTGAAACGATTTTGATGTGATTGATTATTTGTGTCCTGCTTTATATGAGAAATGACCCAGTTGCCGGTCACTGACCCTTGTTAAACAAAGATACTGCAAACATGCGAAAACAAGACATGAGGTACAGATCTAGATCGGTCATAACATGTAGTCAACAGGCTATCATACTTATGTCCCTGTGAAAAGTATAGGTTTCATTTTTACACATTAGTGGCGGTTGGGATTCTAGTCGAGCCGACTGTTGCCCAACTCTGAGACAGGGATACCGGCAGCAGAATAATCAAAGCCCGGGTATGTATGTATGTGTATGTATATCATACTCACGTGTAGGTCACTGTATCAAAACGTGCCACAGTAGTGCGACAGACAATTGATTTTTTTTATTGACAAAACGTATGTATGATCTCAATTTGACATCTGAAGCTTGTGACAACCAAACCGTTTCTGTGAGAAATTCACGCGACTTGGTCCTTGTGTTGACGTACGTGTTGACTGTGTTTTTATAAATCATTTCTAACGAATCTAAATTCAGTACATCAGGCCTAAGCTGTAAGTATTAGTGATTGTTTATCTTGAGTTGTCATTTGGTCACGTGATACGGCGTCCGTAAATTAGTCTGGGCTTTGGCACAAATATTAAGTAGACTGAAAGAGAGTGGGCAGTATCACTTTACTAGTTTCAAGCTGAACAACAAACGAAAGTCGATAACGTTAGAAAAAGACACGGGGACCGTCAGTAACTCATACTCCATTTGCTATTGTTGATGAACGACGCCTGATCATCAGCAGCCTCCATAACTAGTCCCCGCAACGCCGCGCAAGAACCACGGTCAGCAAAGCCAAGACGTGCGGCAGGAGCCACTCGGCGTTTCGATCCATTCATCAAACTTCAGGTATAAATAAAAGCTCGCATTCTTTTATCGGACGCACCAACCTCTTCTGTTAGAAAACTTTGTTAGTACGCGGTACGTAAAGCCATTAGGATCTAATTTACGGACACAATTATTTCAACTACAAATACAAACCTTGAAGAACCTAAAACTGCTTCAACGGCGAAAATAGAAATCCTTCAAAAGCATCAAAGACAACTGGCGATAAGGGACTGTAAATCTTGCAGTAGAAAAGATCCGTCGTCACAATGAATCAGATATCTCAGTACAAAGTTGGCATTGTACTGATTCTTGCCTTGTCAGCGGTATCTAATCTCTCAGGATATAAGATGTGCTTCCCCACGTGCCAAAGAAGAATACTATTGTGGTGCGTACCAAACAGCAAGATGGTCAGCGACAATAATCGTTATGGTCCATCTCTTATCAGATATCAGACGCAGTGTATTTTGTGCCGCAACACTTTTACTGAGGTTACAAACGGCGCAACAGGCAAGTGTTTTCCTGGTGTGGAGAAGCTCGCTCTGAAGGGTTTGCAGTACGGGAGGATATCGTCAGAAAAACTAGCTCCACTCGCCACTTCTTCCCTTATAAGTCTTTTTCTTATTGGTGCAGGGATAACTGAAATTGACAATGCTACATTTAAAGACTTTGGCGAATTGAAAAATTTGAATATGGATGATAACATGCTAGGGCACATTCCCAGAAACTGGTATGGTGTGAAAAATTACCACCTCGTCCGACTTTCCATTTCTAACAATAACATTGCTAGTTTAGACCCAGCATGCTTCCGAAATCTGGAGAAGCTGGAGTCGTTAGATCTACGAGGAAACAAACTGCGTGAAGTACGCAGCCAGTGGTTTACTGGGCTGTACAGTCTAACAAATCTACTCTTAAGTGAAAACAAAATTGAAACGATTCCGCCCAAAGCATTTGAGTTTTTGTGCCGCCTGCAGTTTTTGGACTTGAGTAACAACGGCTTGGTTTGTTTGCACAGAGAAGCAGTCCTGTCTGTGACGAAACCGGTTAGAGTCGTCTTTAGTCGATATAGTCCTGCCGTTTCCAAAGTATACTCTCTTAGTCATGATATGGCATGGAGCGTAGTGCTGGGAAGGTGTGACAGCACAGAGCAGTGGGCACGGTTTGAGGCAGTCGGTATGGTGTTACGTATTACCTATGAACCCGGACAGGACAGGTTTGTTATTGACTGGTTTAGCACGTCAGCAAGTGCGCACAACGTCCCGAGCGGTCCGGATCCAGACTTTTGTAATCCGCCCTCGGAAAGGTTTTGGTCGGGTCGCTTCACGACTTACTCTTCTTTCATCCTCATAGCGGAGAACAGTGAGAGACAAGTGAAGTCGTCTTTTCCCACTCAATGCCTAGAGGCGTGGGAACAGCATGATGGTATACACTTGACTTTGAGGAGATCCAGTTTGAAAGTCTCCGTCATGACAAGAAGGCAGTTAGGGGCTCCCAGGGCGGAGTCTTTGAGTATTGTGGCAACGACACGGAGTAGTCAAAATGTTGACTCTGAAAATACAAACAAGGAAAGAGTGGAATGTTTTGCTCTCAATCATAAGTACAAACACATTTCATCCTTCAATGTGACTGCAACGAAGCAAGTAGATGACACGAGGTGTTTTCTGAGTGAGACAACAGAAACGAGTACGATATTTAATAGATTTAGCACTACCCATGTAAGTAACGACAACAGAACTCAAGCGTCAGAAAAACAACGTCCTCATCTTCAACAAACTTATCATTGGGCCCACACATACAGAATGCCACTGCTGAGCAACATCTGGGTCGCCATACTTCTCTTCCATGCCAACTGTAGCCGATGTAACTCCTGATGGAGTTATCCGAACTGATACAGGGATGACTCTGACCATAATCTTAGTATTGGCAGGTCCGGTTATTGCTGTATGTTTCCTACCGTTTTTGCTCTACGCAAAGAGACGTAAAAATAACCGGGAACAACACAGACCAAATGTTCCTGTACCGTGCCAAAATATGGCAAGCTTGTGGGTTTTACAGAATAACCCGATGTACACAAGCGTTGCGCAAGAAACGTGCGGGACAGCTGAGAGCACACGGGACGATAGCGGACACAGTCACGTGCGTGAGAAGGGAGCGCGGAGTCCGTCAGGCCACCACTACTGGGAAATAAAAGACGGAGATGTAAGAGAGGAGAATTATCGACGGCGGGATTCTTCTTGTGATGATGAAGAATGCGAAGAAATTAATGACGGAGACATCAATAATGAGTCTGGACAAGGTAATAACGACGACCCTCTGACATTCTATGCCGCTGTTGCTGACTTACGGGTGCCCACAAATGGGGGTGCAGGGATATCGCTTTACACGATAGACACGGAGACGGTGGGCTTTGTTAACTTCAGATTGGCCAGTTTGTCGGTCTCGACACCTTTTAACCAGGAAGAGACAGGTTATGAAATGGCGACTGAACGCACGTGTGCAGGCGTATCAAACCATCAGGGCATCTGCACAAATCAAACATTGGATGATGATGCGCATGGTAACATGGAGGAAGGGAGCTCGAGGGAGAAACACATAGAAAGACGCCTTGGCACCCATAATGACGAGAATGAAGTCAAACTTAAGCAGGAACAGTCTTGGAGGTAAACAATATGAAAAAACTACTGTTATTACAAATATATGATTATCTTTGTTTACTTAATGATATCAAAAATATAGATTATATTAATTTTCTTTGTCGTATATATTGAATTTTATCAATTCTTCACTGCTATGTAAACAGCATGATGGTATGATAATGTCTGAATTGTCATGGGCTGTATTATCTTCGTGGCGTTTATATGTTCACTGTATACGCATTATGACTTGTACATAGTAGTTGGCATATAGTAGTTGGTAGAACGTATTTGTGAGTAGGTAAATTCATAAGGATTCAATTAAACAATCTAACGTGGTATCCCAGTTTGTGGTGCAATAATTCATATATGCATTATGATTGTGACTGCTGACGCACATCCTGACCACTTCCGCCAGGAAGGAACTCAGACAATCTAATCATGACGTGTTTCTGAACAACCACCCGTCATGCCCTCATTTATGACTAGAGCTCGTTACTTGCACTATAGCCGAAAAAACACAGACTTGTCCTTAATTTTCTGGAAGATCTATGAAAAATTGTGATAGCCTCATTAGCCTGAACTAGGGAATCTCCTAGCATCTTTCGATAAGACACTAAAGTTGGCCAGCCCGTATTAAACCGGTTGGCCCCGGCACGGTTGGGGCTGATCAATGAGAAAATTCCTTGCTATACACCTAGTTCTGGTGCAGATCCTTCAGTGACAAACCGGCAAGGCAGTTGCGTTCAGCCGCCACCTATATTAGGCCACACCGATTTGATTTTATGGATGACATCCTCTGAAGACTCCCAAACTAGTATATACATGTAGTGCGCGCGGGCGAATAAAAAAAATTCCGGCCAAAAACAAAAATGCTACTAAACCATAGGAATACAAAGCTGGAATTGTGAATTTGCGACAGTACGTAGCGATGTATACGACAAGCCGGCACATGCTGGCTTTTTTGCGGCATTTATGAATTCGTTACTGTGCTCTTATGTACTGAGTTTTTGAGTTACAGGAAGCGGAATTTCTTGTTTTTTTTTGTAGGAACAGGCCAAAATCAATGCGCGCGTGAACGTCATCCATAAAATTTACTTGGTGTGGCCTTAGGGGCAGGCGAAAATCAATGCGCGCGCGGATGTCATCCATAAAAGTAAGTCGGTGTGGCCTTAGGAGACAATGGGAGACACAGGCCAAGCAGATCATACGGTGGCAAGGCAGTATCCATTGGCCAGAGCAGTGTCCATTAGCCACCGGTGGCTACTGGACACTCCTCTGGCCGACGGATACTGCCTTGACACCGTATGGTCTGCTTGGAGATTAACACAGTACTACTGAGTATTGATTGTAGTCCAATTACATCCTAGCTGTAGACAATAACGTCGCCTGTCAATAATACAAGAAATTGCAGCATCGTGGTTTGCTTGGAGGGCGACAAAGCACCATTTAAAGATAAACATTGCCACAGCTACTTAAGAAAGGAGAGCTAGTTGAATACTTTTACCGACCAATTTTCTTTTTGTACATATTAACTAAATTGTTTTTGGTGCTACTTTGACACTATCTAGATTTTTTTGACAGCAACACGCTACAATACAGGTTGTGAAGTTTTGACGCCCTCATAAGGTTAGGGGTCAACTGGTCAGTACCCGGAAAAGCCATGACATACACCAAGGAGGCGTGAAAAATCTCGGTATACGTGCTCTGCGCCACGTCTTTATAAGACAGGTAGTAATATACCGTATCAGCAGGTTATCAGACATTCCGTGTAAGCTGTAGTAGCGTGTCCGCTCCCGCTGGTGACGATGAGAGGCGTACATCGTGTGCTGGCCGGCGTCCTGCGCCGCGGACCGCCCAGACTTGGGTCCGAGACTGGGGGCGGGTGTGTCCGCTACAGCGTCAAGTTCAGCTCAAGTGCAGCAGTCGGCGCCAAGTCACACATACGGCCTGGATATGTCATCCTCGGTGAGTAGCTCTGAAGTTCAAAGAGAGTGGGGTTTGGGTCGATCATCGTTGATCGTTATAATTACGTGAACGAATTCAGTAGATATATGTGATCATGATGACTTGCAGTCTTGTACCATATGTTTGTATGATATGTTACGTTATGTATTTCTATAAGTTAATCCATGCCCCGTAGGATGATATTATCTGTATTGATCAGCCTGTATAATCGCCTTCCAGAGTGACATATGGTGCAGGTATGCGGCGATGTGTTTGTTTATACACGAAAGTGTTGTGTGGGCTGCCTATAACAACAGCACGTACTCCACGTACGGGCCTGACTACACCTGTTACGATGGTTACAGTTCTCACTGACAGGCGACAGTAAGGGAACATTTCTATTCCACTTTCCCATTGTGTTGTGGGGAAAAAGCTATTGCACTGACCTTACAGTGCAGTTACATGTTTCTACCAATCATTAGCTTTATTACCGGGAATTGCACATTTTTTTAGGGGGGGGGGCAAAGATACGTTTTTGCAATGAATTTTTGCATTTTTTGGGTGAAAGTAGGAAAAAGTTCCATTCCATGTGTGTACCAATGGTCAGCATTGCTGTTTTCAGCATAATCATAAAGAAGCCTCACATGCAAATAGTGCAACGTTTTAGTTCATCTCTTAGTCTTGTTCCAAACTCCACAGGTGCAGGATTGGCCTGTGGGACCGGTGCAGTGCTGTACTCAGCCCACCTGAGGAAGAAAACTCTCGCTGCCACTCTGGAATCTGTGTTCATGGCCCAGCCAATCACAGACATGACTGCCTTACAGCAGGGGTCAGACATGCGCAGTCGGATGGAGCTGCTCATCCTGCAGGTGCAGCGGGACGTGTGTATGGCTCTGGAGGAGCTGGAGGCTACTGAAGGTGACAAGAAGTTTACGGTGGATCGGTGGGAGAGGAAGGAAGGAGGCGGTGGGATCAGCTGTGTGTTACAGGACGGACAAGTGTTTGAAAAAGCCGGGGTCAACATTTCTATCGTACTAGGGAACCTCCCACCCGCCGCCGTGCGACAGATGCGAGCCAGGGGCAAGGATTTCAAGACCAAGGACGACAGCGGCCTTCCCTTTTTTGCGGCGGGAGTTAGCTCAGTCATCCACCCACGCAGCCCGAATGTCCCCACCATCCACTTCAACTACCGCTACTTTGAGGTGGTGGAAGAGGACGGAACTCGGCAGTGGTGGTTCGGAGGTGGCACCGACCTGACGCCATCTTACCTGGACATAGAAGATGTCGTGCACTTCCACTCCACACTCAAGGATGCCTGTGATAAACATGACAAGTCTCTGTATCCAAAGTAAGTATCGCATAAGACTCTGGTTGACACTGTCCTATTTTAGCGCCAATGTTTGCTTCTGCTATGTTACATTGCAGGATGAAGAAATTCTTATTCGGAGCAGAATAGGTGGTTATTATGGTCCCTGAGTTTCATATACATTTGTACCACCAGTGGGATACTTTCTCCTGTCCTGAATAAAGAATGTCAATAAGAAAGACAACCATGTTCATATTCTTCTTAATTTACCCTTGTGCCAGGTTCAAAAAGTGGTGTGACGACTACTTCACCATCCCCCACCGCGGGGAGCGCCGAGGGGTTGGCGGGATCTTCTTTGACGATGTTGATGAACCATCGCAGGAAGAAGCCTTCCGTTTTGTCAAGTCCTGCGCTGACTCGGTTATACCTTCCTACGTGCCTATTGTGAAGAAGCAGATGACTCGGGGCTATGGCCTGGCAGAACGCCAATGGCAACTTCTACGCCGTGGAAGGTTAGTTTTAACTATTACATGAACTATAGATCAGTATATATATGATAGCCTCAGTTGTTTTACACGAATGAATGATAATAGATGTAGTCAATGGGAATTTTTAAAAAGAACAGAGTAGATGTCATATGCACATACAGTTTAACTAATGCAACTATTTCCACACTAATGTAGCATTTCAATATTGACATACCTTGTATCTTCAATACTAATCACCTGTTTATGTGTAACTTTTTCTGTGCAGGTACGTGGAGTTTAATTTGGTGTATGACCGGGGCACAAAGTTTGGTCTGGCCACCCCAGGTGCCCGTATCGAGAGCATCCTGATGTCGCTCCCCCTAGTGGCCAGGTGGGAGTACTGCCATGACCCAGCACCAGGCTCACCGGAAGCGGAGTTGATGGAAGTTCTCAAAAACCCCAGAGACTGGGTGTGATCTTAGTAGTGGCAATTTCTCAAAAGTTTTCTGCTTTTTTCATGAGGAAAATACTTCTACTTTTGTAATTTTTAACAATGACAAAGTTTTCAAAAGCCAACCTAACAATATCTCCAAATTTTTTCAGTGTAATTGTTATTCAAGTACCTTCAGAGGTTTGTCTGAGGGGAGTGGCAAAATGTTGTAAACAGCACTCTAGTGTAAATGTTGGTTGGCTCTGTGTAACAATCAATCACCCTCCCAATCAACTTCTTTAAAGCTCAGATTCGATCCACCCATGACCTGACAAATTGCTGCCTAGTTCACCTGAACCACAACATCTGACAAAGAAACCTCATCAATTCCATATAGGGGGGAAGTTGTGGAAGATTATGAATTAAGTCACCTGTGTTTAAACAAAGGTTTAATGATAGCTGTCATGGTATGCATGAATCAGTTCATTTCAAAACTGCTAAGTCCAACAACAAAAAAAAGCTGACACCTTCCGATATGGATTTGTTGAAGCTGATTTCCAAGATTTGTGGTTAAGTTGAACTAAGAAGCAATTTGTTGCGTCATGAGTGATTCAAAGAGGATGATTAGACGAGGTGTACATGTGCCTTGCCAACCATAAGTGGCATTTCTCCAAGGTAGGGTCACCAGGAGTGCTTTGATGCTAAGGCAAGTGAGAAAAACACTAGCAAACAGCAAAATAAAAAAATTCCCCAAAGTCAAATGTAGATGGACCAAAAGTCTTAGCTTCAATTTTGTCCACAGCAGTTGCTATTGTTTTCAAGTGTCATGATTTATGCTTAAAGCAATATTATTGTCAGATGCAGATATGGCATTTGCAACTGTATAGCCAGTAGGCTCCTTTTATGACCTGTAGATATTATGACATGCAATATAATTGTGATTGCGCTATGTCAGTGCACATTTTATGTCTCTATTTCCATTCAAAATGTTTACAATCTACATACATGTACTGACACCTTCCTTGCCTAGGCCACAAGCCTTTTGTCTTCTGTCATGTACAGTGTATATGTGATCTCAAACAAACTAACCCATGACTGTCAAAAGTCAAATGGTCCTTTGTGTTTTCTCTAGTGTAAGAGAGAAAACTTGCCCATCCACATGTGCAAACTTAAGTATGCTAGCAATAAAGATTGTAGGAACTAAAATGTCTTTGGACCTTTCGTTTGTATTTCGTTATGTGTAAGTTGCCTATAGGCAGCAGCTGCAATTTTCGCATGTAATAAAGATCTCATGAACCTGTGAATAGTTTCATCAGTTTGATAATTCAATGGTTAACGAAGTTCTAACTAATAAATATTTACCTGCCAACGTTTTGGTACTTTCACTACCTTTCTCACGGTATTACTTGCTGCGGTTCTTCTTCCCACGGCTAGGAGGCGCTCCAATAACAGTTTGTTAATATACCTAATAGGTAATACAGCGCCTTCTAGCTGTGGGAAATGCCCTATATCAGAGGTAACTAGAGGTCGGAGATCTCATGTCTTCGTCAGAGGTATGTTGTTCTAGAGAAATGAACATGTGTATTCTTTACTCTTTTTAATAATCAATTTGGTCTAAAGTACAAAAGAATCTCTGTTCATGTTATTATGGCGCTTTCACATTAAATTTAAGGTCTCCAGTGGACGTCATCCATAGCAATTACTTGGTGTGGCCGTAGAAAATAACCTGACACATGTCCAACCTATCCTCCCCCTGCTGAAGTTATTGTACAATCCCTCAATGTAACGTCGTTTGATCCCATTCCATTATGGAGTTCCCCGGCTATATCCAGCTGTCGGCTGTCTCCAAGCAGAAGTTGGTGTGGGAAGTACATTATTTCTAAACACAAAAGGTCCGCTACAGTGACAACGGACCCCCCCGCGAAGCCCATTAACGAACTTAACCTTGGTCTCTACAATAGTAATCTGCCTACCAAAAATTATAAACATCAATTTACATATACTCGAGTTATTTTGCTCACAAGCCACAAATACAAAAGGTGCACCTACGTGACGCACGGACCCCCCACGAAGCCGAAACTTGTACTTGACTTCGGCCTCAACAACGGTAATCTGCCTGCCAAAAATCATGGACGTCGGCATGCCTGCCAGAGTTATATCGCAAAATCCGCAGTTCCCCACACTGCGGCGAGACAATTTCATAGTCCTTCTGACCAAGACAATTACGTGCGATTCGAGCTTCCAGGCAAATATTAGGTTTTGTTCGCAAGTGGACTCAAGTGAAAGGCCAGGTTCAAGTACGGTGCAGCGCACATAGAAATGATACAACTATTTACAAATCATTTACTAATTCAGGATGAACAAGATACACTAAATGTATCTGCGCTGTGGGAAGAACAATCATTAAAACCAAAGGTCCTCATCATACAACTCCAACACGCATTTTCCATGTGTTGCACCCGCGAGATGACTTGCCTTTTTGTTATATGTTCACCCGCATAATAAACACACTTGGTGCATATCTGAACAGCACTGTGTAAAGAAGAAACGGACATGTACATACGTACACACTTACTTACCGCGCGGTCTCATTCGGCGTACATCATCGCACGAAATTTGTTAGAATTTTCAAACGGGCCGTGACACAACCAATCAACGGCAGGGATCTAACACAGACTTTTCACAACAAGCCAGCTGAATTCTGTACGACACATGCACGACTATGACTAGAATACCCTTGGTCTGTGATCGCACGGACGAATGGACCAGTCCCTTACTTTCAGGGAGTATCGTGTGATTAATTAGTAACGCCGAAGTGCATGGCGTAACTAAACGTGCGCGTGAAACACACAGGAAGGTTAAAAGGTCATTGATCTAAAACTAGGCCACTTTGGCCAAAGTTAGGTCGAGCGGAAACTAGGTCACTTTGGCCAAAGTTCGAGCGGCGAGCCATTAACTAGTTCACCATTTACCCACGGGCCATTAACCAGTGTCGTCATTTGGACTGGGAGACTGTTGGAGACTGGTAAAATCATAGTTTCAGGTATGAATGTCGGTAATTTGAGAGTAATCCCATCATATATCATGATGTTTGGAATGATGTAGTGATGAGTGTAGTCTATAGTCGCTTACATTACCGGACGTTTGATTGACGAGTGAAATTTGCGTGGCTTTGAAAATTTGAAATACATAGGTCAAAATTAATTTTATGTGTTATATAATGAATTGACTGCGTTTTATATAATAATTAGAACTGATGCGTTGATTGGAACTTTCTTTGCGCGCGTAACGAAGAACACATCCATATTTCATTCATATTTATGTTTTTGAGCGTCCACATCAGATACTGTAAAAAGTGTCAGTCACACGGGGATCATGCCTGGGATAGCGGGCGGTACGGCTGGTGAATCGCACGGCATCGGGATGTACTGTACATGTGCCACCTGTTGAAAATCCGCCATCAAACATTTACAATAAGTTGATGTCTGATCAAGGTTTAAACCAAAAAGGCAGTGATTTAAACTGTTTTTAACGCCTTTTTTAAATATTTGCACACCGCATTTTCAGGTTGGCTTCAATCCAGGCCTACATTTGTGAACTTCTACCATGAAGCTGGTGATACTAGGGGCTTCTGGCCGCAGTGGTATGTCTACTTGAATTCGAATATCTCTTTTGATAGATAGTCTGTAGTGTCACGACTAGTTATCCCTACTAATGAGAACCGAATTTCCCGGGAATTAATCTTGTGTTGGTAGTAATGACCCCCCCCCCCGTTACGTGACTGAGGGACATCTAATCTCCAAGCAGATCTTTTGGAGTATGGCTGCAAGACAGTATCAAATTGCTAGCCTCTACCAGGCTTGAGGAGGCGGCTGGAAAGAGTAGAAATCGGCCAAAATAGAGAGATAAGCATGCCAAGGAAGTTTGTCCGTTGAGAGAACAGTTCGTCGTGGGGCGGCGAACTGTTCTCTCAACGGCCAAACTCCCTTGGCATGCTTATCTCTCTATTTTGGCCGATTTCTACTCTTTCCAGCCGCCTCCTCAAGCCTGGTAGAGGCTATCAAATTGCCAAGACAGTACCATCGGTAGCGCCATGTTCAATACGCTACCGAAAAAAATGATACCAAGACAAAAAAACTATTAAAACGCCTAAAACACGTCAAAAATAGCAAGAATCTCTGCACGGATGAGGCCAATCAACCTCTGCTCGAGCAAATATTTGACAGATCGCTAAACAAATTTCACAGACGAAGGACGATTTTTCTTCACTTTTTGTGTTTTTTTTTTCTTTTTAATCATGCTTTTGTGTCATACATCACACAAGGGCCACACAAGTCCAATTTTGGTAGCGAAGCTTTCGCCGCACTTTAATAATATACAGTGGAAATGACAACAATATCTCAACGTTGTGCCTTTGGATGCGAAAGCTACAAGGAAAAATATAGACAATGGTTGCCATTTTGACCAAATATAGCCCACATTTATCTGCTGCTGGATCAATCATTACACTATGTCTACAGGCACGGAGCTGGTCAAGCAGGCATTGGAACAGGGTCATGACGTCACCGCTCTCGTCAGGAACGAGGCCAAGATGAGGGAAAAGGTCCCGGATGAGAAGCTAAAGGTAGAAAACGGTTGTATCGACCAATCAACAAATATATCAAATAGAACAAAGAAATGAAATAACTGATCATGTGTTCTGTCACATATCAAAAAGCCATTGATATATAAAGCGCAAATTTGGAGTCTTTTTACCTCCTATTGTAGTTTTCGACATAACAAACATAGACCATTTTTTTGCAGGTTGAAACTGTCGATGTGACGTCTGTAGAATCCCTCACACCTCACTTCACGGGAAAGGACGCCGTGGTGTCGGCTTTGGGGCATGTTGGAGGTATGGGATGGGCCTTGTATTAAAATTCTATGGATAAGAGTATGCCATGATTTCCTTACATCATTTTATCAGAGTTACCAACCAAGGATTGCGGTGTTCAAAAACTCGTATTTTCCTAGGGCTATCGCAGAGTGGAGCTCGCTGCCACCAGGAAGAGTAGGGGCATCATCACTGGATAGCGTCAAAAATTCTTGCAGTTAGATGTGCAAATGTTGGATTTAATGAGTGGGTGTACAAATTAAAGCTCATCTGTTACACAGAAGGGCGTTTATACCAGTTATGCAGATACATCTTATTATCTTCTGCGAGCATGTGTCAGTATGTTCTATTCTGTCGGAACGTCGACGTCAAGCATGTGACAGTCTAACAGCGAACATATCATCCTTTACAGATCTTAAAGACACCGTGACCGTCTTCGATGAGTCCATGAGGGCCATCGTACCGGCTATGAGGAAGGTCAACGTCGGTCGTCTGCTTATCTTGTCCGCATGGTTCACCTTCGGTAAGCAATTAGCAGATCAACCAAAGGTAGAACGACAGTAATCAGTTCGTCCAATAATTCTGCATGTACGTCACTATTCCATTTTCATGTGTTTATTTTACATTTATGGGACCGGTACGTTGTTTGATCACTGACACTGTGACATGGGGAACATTGCAGATGACCCCAAAGAGCCAGCACCTCCGTTTGTCATTCAAGTTCTGGGAAATGTCCTGAAGGACATAGCCAGGATGGAGACCTATCTCATGGAGGAGTGTAGCGACCTGGACTGGACTTCGGCAAGGTTTCCTGGCCTGACGGCTGGACCTGTCACAGGTGGGACAGTCACCTTCTGAGGGTGGTAGACAAGAGGGTAGTCTCGTATTCATACCATCGGGAGCTCACCGGTATCTACACGGTGCTGAGGTGTTGCCTGCCCGCTCAGTTCATTTGCGCACACCGGGAAACTTTTCTTCACTCTACGGGACAAGTCAGTGTAGCACTGAAAACACCGACTGAAAGATAGGCTACATCAGAAAAATGCCTATGTTCAGTAAGAACCGGGCTGGTAAAACCACGAATGGCCATGAATGGTTACTTGGCTAGCAAAAGGACTATAGGTGGTACGAGTATGATGAATAGATGGAAACTGAATTATGATGGTTGATAAACTACAATATTTCTGGTCATTATTTCTTTCCTTATATATGTATAAATAAAAATCTGAGATACTTTTTGCTGAAAATGTGATAGTACATTTACGTATTGTGGTAATATTGCTTAAGTATGATGATTCTATTGTCACAGAGTTACCATTTGCTGAGAAAGAAGATGCGGTGCAAGTCTCCGGCGTTCAAGGCACCATGAGCCGCGGAGATGTCGCAAGGTAAGCGTGTTCAGACGTGTAGTGGCTGTTTTCTTATTCATTCATTTATAATCATTCATCAATCCTGGATACATATATGGGTAGTCCCTTCAGCCAAATTGGCCGGCCTGGTATTATTGCTGTGGATTTGACTGTTATAATTGAAAGTGTTGAGTGTGTGTGTTCATCTTCAGACGGCCATTCGTAGATTTCTTCCTGGGATGAGAACATTAAGGAGGTATTCGTGCGTCCATAAGATCTGTTAAATGATGTCATTTCAATGAGGACCCTACACTTTTAAAGACACTTTACTCCAATGCAGTGGTGAAAGGGACCCAAATATTCATCGAATGAGGGTACAATTGTCTTTTGTGTTGTATAATATGTGTGAAATATGTTTTCCGTACTTTATGATGTAACTTACGACATTCCAATGGTCGTTAAACTCTTCCACGTTGCTTCCATGACATAGGTTCGTGCTGGCCAACGTGTGTTCCGACAAGTACACACGCAAGGCTGTCGCCGTCACCACTCTCCAGAATTAGACCAAACTAGAGTTCCAGGATCTCATACCTTCGCCAGATGATGTCAATAACATTTACGACTGACGAAGTTTAAATGTTTCTAATTAGTATGGAAATAAGATACTCCTTTCAGTGTATAGATTATATCAGTTGATCATATCCAAATAAAGCTGTTCTAGCATTTCTTCATAAATTGTGCAAACGCGGCCCTGATTTTAATAAATCATGTTTAGTGATGTTCACCTTCATTTAAGTTAACTTCCAAATGCGCTATGAAATTCCCGACCGTTGCCAATATGAAATGATAACATTTTCTCATAAAATTAAGGCCTCTATTTACAAAATTGATATTTGTTGTTGATGTTCCTCCCGTTCTTGATTTCATATGTCATAAATCTAAAAATAAATAAATGGTAGTTTGATGAGTTATTTTTTCAGGCTTCACGATATCTAGAAATGACGTAACTGTAACCAATGCTTGGAAATGGTATAAAAGTGAGAGGGCGATTAGACACGAATGTTTCATCAAGACTTTGATAAACATGAGTTTCAGCAATTATAGTAGAAAAACTAAAGGCTACACAATGACCATAGAAAAAGAGTTTCAAATGTGCAAAGTTTTACTAATAAAGCATACACCGTTTCACCAATTAAGCATACACATGTGTACGTCTGTTAATGTGTTTGTGTATGTTTGTACGTCTGTTTGTGTGCACATGTATGCGAGTACGCCTGTTTATTCACGAATCCGTTAAACCAATGACATTATACGAACTGTATAATGTCCTTGGGTAAACCCAAAGAGTTGAGAATTACTATTTCTTTCTTTTGTGGTGCCGCCCGACCTAAATACATTATTTCATGACAACTGGACTTAAACATATTTCGATATTGTCAGGAGCCATTCGGTAACATAAAAGAAACTGAAAATATTTTTTACGATGACTAGCAAATTAAAAGCGACAGTAGAAAATGTCACATATTTTAGCCTTAAGTTTCTTACTGTATATAACGTTAAGTTATGATTGTTCTTCGTAGACAATCTTTTGGTTGTTTTGGACCGACTCCCCTGGCGCCTATATTTCATTGGGATAGTACAGTCTTGAAAAGAAATGAGAGCCAAGAAAAGAATGTCTACGCTTCTGCATGGTCACTATTATTTGCTTCATCTTATACAATAAGAACGTATGTACCATCAAACGGAAAAGGTATTTGTTGCGTGTAAAGCTTGATACCCATTTAAGCATATTCTGTGGCAAGTCAATTTTCAATTTGGTCTAAAGGTGTGCAGGCGTACGGTTCCAGGTTGTCTTCCTCCTGGTCCTCTCGGTTTCCACGTGATACACGTTCGCAGTCCGATGTATCCCTGCGGATGTCTTCCAAATCGATGCTGCTGTACGGCTCGATATGCATGGAACCGTCGATGGCACCAAAAGGCACAGTCAGGTACGGTGTGGGCCCCGAGTTCTCGGTTTGTTCAGTCGCTTCCGTGTCCTTGTTAGCGTTGTTGACAGCTGATGCAGACGATTTGTACATCCGATTGGAGATCAGCTGCGTTGAGTCGATGTTGACTCCATGTTGTGTGTGGGCCAGATTCTGTCCTGCAGAATCGTCCTCAGTTTTGTCTGTCTCTTCCTTGTCCCTGACGCCGTCAGTGGCAGGTCCGGAGGGTTGGTACATTTGGTTACTGATGAGTTGAGAACTGATGATAGCGTTGTGCTGTCCATGGACCGGGTTTTGTCTTTCTCTTCCGACATGTCGCTTGTATATCACAACCGCTACTATTGCCCCAGTTACTAGAACTACGAAAGCAACTGTAAGTCCGAGAGGTGTGTAAAGAGAGGCCTCCTTCTCCACGAGGTTGATGGTACTGCCCACGGTACCAGATGGGGTTCTCCTAGATTGCGACGTCATGGCAGAAAGTGTCATCCCAAGTGATTTTCCTGGGAGCGAGATGGTTTCTTCCCTTGAAAACTCTGCGGAAGTCATTGGGATTGGGGAATTCGGAGAGGTTGTCAGTTCCTCAGAGGAGCAGTATGGGTTGGTGTGGAGCGAAGGAAGTCGCGGCCGGCCAGTTCCGCCGGCGACGCGCAGCGAAGATGACGAACCTGTCTGTAAACTGTGAGGGGATCCCAGGCGTTACAGACCAGCCATCGCATTCTATCGTCACAGACAAAGGGGTTGCCTTTGAGAAGGAAGCTAACATCGGAGGCAGGAATCTTGTTCCAACGCTCTTCCAATACCGTGCTGATCTGGTTGTCGATGAGGTTGACTAGTATATTTGCCACTGTTTGGCTGCGACTGATCATGAATACAACCTCATAAGGAATCGCCTTCAGTTGATTGCTCTCCAAGTCTATCCGTTTCAAGCTGATGAGGCTTTGGTGACAAGGTGCCGATGATGTTGTGATCGCACGCTAGATAGATCGCAGTCAGGGCGGGCAAGCTGTGGAAGCTGAAGTCGCCGATATGCCGGAGGCGACTACAGCGGATGGCTATCACCGTGATGGCCGGTACGGAGGAAAACGCACCCTTTCCTGGAGTAGAAGGGACGCAGAGAAATTGTCAATGTTTGTACTATAATCACTTCCTAAAGAATTCTTTTTTCTTTATACTTAATCAAAATGTACACCGGTGATTCTTTGCAGTGATATCTTTCACATTGCACATAGCATGTAATGGGCCGGGATATTACTATGTAATAAATAAAGATTGAATACATATATCCTACCCCTGAACTGCGTTTTTAAAAGATTACATCATTTTAAACCTGCAGCTGTTCTACAACCTTATGTCTTAGCAAATAATGATAAACATTTTACGACTGTTGTATTATAAATCTTTTTCATTCATCTAACAAATAATTATTTGTGTAGATTGTATCAATTGACGATCATCTCTACTAAAACATTGAAGTCCTGCCTTAGCAAATAAAGCGATTGTAATGTTTTTTTATCAATCATTCAATTCCTGCTCCGATGTCAGTTTACATTAGGGCATGAATCCATAAGAATTTTCCCTGCACGCTTTACCCCAATTTAGGGGTGTTGTGCAGTACCCAAACAAGAACAAGAAGAAGAACAAGAACCACTACGATATTCTTACGTGTTTTCATTAATTATGAGATTTAGGTCGTTCATTTTGCATAATTGATAACAATGTCAATAACATTAGGTGTTCCTCTCTTGCATGGCCACGTTTTTATATACTGTCAATTGATTATCAGGAAGCACCATTATTATGGGTTCACCACACCACGAAGTGGTGTGGTGAAACCATATTGCTTTTTCTGATGTTTCTTCTTCTCCTTCTCCTCCTGCCATTTCTTTAAATGGATTCAGCTTCTTCATTTTAGGGCCTAAGGTCCTGAAATTTGGTATGGAGGTACAGTGGGCAAATACCCCTAGGCGTTTTTTAAATTTTTGTGATACAAGCTTTTACAATCGTTTTATTTGCTTTTTTAGCGGTCCCCATAGGAAAGTACTGTGCGGGGGCGTACGCGCGTGACGTAATAAGAAAGAA